CAAATACCAAACTATCAAGTTTAGTGGCGAACTTGAGCCATATATAATTTCATGGCTAAAAGGTAAATGAATACTTTTATGGTCATTTTTTTATGTAAATCCATATTTATAGAAATTTCACATTCGATAGTGATAAAATAAAGGAATCTTGCTTAACCTAAATCGTCATCATTGATTTCCTGTATTAGGTGATGATGGTGAGATAAATATAGTGTAATGTGTGAACTTCATAAAATAAGGAAATGTTAGGGACTCTCATGAGACCCTATGATATAAAAAGTTGCTTTTTTTTTTTATGGATGCAGAGAGTAAAATAAGTAGAATCTGGTGGACTGTAAGAAATAAGAACATACCAACATCATTTCAAAGGCCTTTGCAAGACCAACAAGTCTTGGAACCCTTGGAGTTCCTGAAATAAAGTCAAAATCATAAGTCAAAATATTATAAAAATCCCTATACTTATGATAATTGAATAGAAGGTAAATCTCAACAAAACTTTAGCAAAAGATTTTACATTTTTTCTTGAAATTACACAATAATAGATGATCCTTTGTCGATATATTATATGGAATACCCTTCAATACAAACAGTTACAAAATCATCAAATTGATAACTAGCAAGAAAAATGATAGCATTATTTGAAAATTAGCAAAAGATTTACAAAATGTTGCATTTATTTATACTTTTATACCTCCAAATCCAAGAATAACACCGAGCTACAATTCAGGAAAACCTAACTAAGCAGTAGAAAAAACAACTCTAGCATGGCAAGCCTGAAAATAAAATCAAGAAAATTTCACAAAAAAATCATTAGTAAAAAACTTAAAACAACCAAAAAAAAGTAAAACATACCATAGCAACTTCCAATCCTCTACCTAAAGCAAGCCCATCAATAACATCAAAATATAGTTTTCTTGCAGCTGAAACAAACACCAACATATATATATATATATATATATATATATATATATATATATATATATATATATATATATATATATATATATATATATATATGAGGGGTACGGTGGTAAATGAACATACCTTCAGGGGTATCAAATAGAATATCGATTGATACATAAGCATGTTTTGATGTTGCTTTTGTGTCATAGCAGTTGTAAACAACAAACCACAAATGAAAATTTAAGAAATTTTATCAAAAATATGGATATAATGTACTTCATACACTATGCATACATTTTCCTTCATGAACTCCAATTAAAAGCATAAATGTCAAAAACACCAGAAAATTTTCCTTTTGAGCCTGTTTCAGATCATGTAAGGTGTTAAAATTATTATATAGTTCTTAAAAAGATTAAATTTATACATAAGACTTCATAAATAAATAAAAAAAACATGACTGTAACAACAATTGCTCTCATATTGTGTCTTTCTAAACCTTGGTCAAAATAGTACCGGAAATAAAGATGGGAGAATATTAACAAAATTAACAGATACTAAGATAGTAATGAAAATACATAAATCACACTATGGTCAAAATACATGACAATATTCTCATGTCTCAACAAATCACCTATCATGTAGATAAGTTTATTGATGGAAAATGCTTTCTAGAAACTTGATTATCCGTACTCATCCACTTTTCCCTAATTATCTTATGCTTCTATATATTTGTCTCTCTATTAATCTACCAAAGGAATTACAATCGAAAAGCATGATCATAACTTCCACATATTTGATAATTACTAAAGAAATTCTCAGATTTTGCCCTAATTGAAGTATGATGATAATAATCCATTGAATGTTTAAAAGCCATATTTGCACAATATTATGTCAGCAAATATGCATGTTGATCCCAACAAGTATGTTATATATACACCAACATTATATGATCAAATCAACGTTACATCTAATTTGAATTGGAGAAAGTTTCAAAGTTGGATGGTTAATGATCGAAGATTACTACCAAACATGATACCTTTCCTTTTGTGTGTAACATCCCGAAAATCATAGGGTAAAAATTTCACTTATATTATAATCAAAACACCCATGTAACTTTTATTCAAACATTTAAAAGCATTTCAAAATAATACAATTATCAGAGTTCATACCGAACCAAGAACACACACCCATGGTGAGTTCATACTCCTACATTTTCATGATTTTTCATTGTTTTAGAGAGAGAGAGAGAGAGAGAGAGAGAAGAGGGGGGAGGATACAAGAAAAATACAAGAAATCTTGTGTTAACATTTAAATTATTGCAAATAGTTTCAATCGTTGTCTTTACTAAAAACATACATTCATATATGTATAATTATATAATTAAGATTCAACACGCTTAGAATTGGTGATTTTGCTTTATTTCCTATGCCTTGTTTGATTGTGGGCTTAGGGTTTATATATATATATATATATATATATATATATATATATATATATATATATATATATATATATATATATATAAGTATAAAACTATTTAAACGTGGTAAACGAAAAGAATTTTTTCGTAATTTATTTTATTACCATTTGAACATAAATGCTAAATTTCACGGAACATCCTTATCACGGATTTATAATCTTAAACTTGCAAAGCCGTTAATAATACAAATATTTTCATTTCAGTAGAACACATGTTATAAACTATAATAGGTATAGTTTATGGAACTTACTTATCATTTACCAAGTTGGCGATGCAATACAAAAAGAAACATAAAAACTATAATATGTATAGTTTATGGATCATATGCACCATATTACCAAGTTCAGAATACATTACCGAAAACAAACATATAAACTAAAATAAATATAGTTTATGAGATATACATACAGTTATTTATCACAAAAAGGACATTTCATTATTCTATATGTAATCGTCAATATAGCTTTGTGAGACATACTTCACGTACTTATCTAAGTACCAACGAAAGCCTTGAAATTATATCCAGAGTCTTCTAGAAGGAGAGCGTGACACTTGTGTATAGATCTATACGGGTCTGATAATCCCGCACCTTAACTGTTAGCTATAGTTAGGCCGGTAGGCCTAGGGTGACAAATGTCATATCGATTTCGACGCCTGAAGAACGTCGTATTTAAGCCATTTTAGGTCATCAAGTACGGTTATAATAACTCACAATTTAGTATTGAACAATACGATTAGTGTACGAATAAGTAAACAACTTCAAATAGTTTTATTAAATAATAAAACTACAATACCGTATTTTACAGTACAACTGGTGGATCCAGGCACATACACTCACATAATTTCATACAAGTACAGCTACAATATACTAATTTCTTAATACGGAGAAACTTACATTTCAGGGAACATTTATTTTATGGTTTTATGTGGATAAAAACTATATCATACTACTTCAAAGTACAACAACATTCTCATGTTTTGGTGTTAGGGTATTAAGACTACAACATATTTACAATAGAAAATATAGGATTTTCTGGAAGAACATACTTACATTTTCAAGGATCAAAAGACAAATTTCAATTACAAACATACTTATGAACTCACCAACTTAATTGTTGACACTTTTTTCAAAACTACTTGTATTCTCAGAAAATCAATAAACAGGCACTCATAGGTTATGAGAAGACGAAGCTTCATAGTATCATGTCTTTTAGTTTTTGTTATACATTTTGGTGTCAAGTATACATTTATTTGAACACAAATGTAAAATTGTACATTATTAATATTATAGTTGTTGTACTTTGATTACTATTATACAATTGTTGTGATACTGTACATGACGTCATTCACCCTCGAACGTTTCCGCCGTTCTGATGTGGGGGTGTGACAGCTTTAAATGACAAATATTTGTCTCTCATCTATAGGCATTTAAAACAGGCATTCTGCCTTTTTCCTAGTAGTGACTCCCGAGTACTTTTCATTTAGACATTTAAATTCAATAAATCTATATTACAACAAAACAAAAATTAATTCTTTCCACGACATACAATTAAAACATTGAATTTATCTTGGTTTTTATTCACATATTCAAATCAATAAAACGATATTACACTTAAAAAACCATTCAAAATAGATTTGGTGGTTAGACCAAAACCAACATTAATATCATGCATCACTGACTTCGTAGCCAGCTTTTGTGTGTGTTAAAGGTAACATAGCTTCTGAATAAGTATAAAAAGGATAGAGTGTTTCATATGCCTTTGTTCCATCTATAACGTTCACCCTCTCTGTGGGATGAAAAGCGTCCCAAAATATATAGTTTTGCCTGTTGCTACATGGAACTTGATTCGGAACACAACTCCCTTTTCCCGTGGTTCTTAACGCAATTTCACAGCATGGTTTATCAGTAACATTTAAATCTGTATGCATGGAAACTATGCACGTTAGTAAGATGTTAAATAATTCTATTCTATCCTACAAAAATATAAATTTTAACTTTGAAGGTTAAACAATATTGTCAAAAGTGATGCTTTATACCACTAGGATATACTAAACGAGCGTCGATCAAGATGAACTTTGCATCAAGGAATCTATTGTTTAGATCATTTAGAGTAGTATTAAGCAGGGTGTTGAATAATTTGACCGCATTATTAACTAATTCGACGCAAGAGTTCAAGCCATAATCCGCCATGATCCCTGGGCAACAGCCCGAATAGCCTGCTGCAAAAATTCCAAACTTTCTAGCTCCAGATTCATACAATTCCTGTGGATTAATATTTGTATTTTCATTTTATTTTTTCATCACGAAATAGACTTGACGAACAAAATATCTAAAAATAAGAAATATAATCTTGAATCAAATAAATTTAATAATACAGACCAAAATTTAGACACATTATTGGGCTCAATCCAATAATTTTCATTGCGATTTAGTTGAAAGAATAAAAGATATATTCAAATGTATTTATATTTATACATCTACCTGTTATAAATCTTGTTAGCCGACTTATATATATATATATATATATATATATATATATATATATATATATATATATATATATATATATATATATATATTCAAATGTATTATATTTATCTTTTAAAAAATCTTATCCTGGAATATCTATTGTAACCTTCATATATAGTTGATCATTATTAATAAGAGGGCATGAATTTTTTTCATGTTTAATCAAGGTTCCAAAACATTCGTCATGGTACGTCATGACTTCAACGCTTGTAGTTGGCGCCAAGCTTTAAAAAAATGTTGCATTATGTCATATATATATATATATATATATATATATATATATATATATATATATATATATATATATATCCAAGATTTTCTCTCCAAAATATCTCTTATAGAGAGAGGGGGAACAAACATATATCAATACTTATAGGACCATGTAGCACCAATGTGTAGAGAGACATAAGTAGAATCCAAGGTTATGGCTCCAAAATAAATTTTATGGAGAGAGTAGGAACTCCAACATATATATAGACACTTATATGATTGTGTCGTACCAATGTAGGATACACTAACACAAGATGACCATAGATTCAACCTTACATGTGAATAAATGCCAATTTCATGTCGATTTTGCGGTGACTAATATAAAGAATTTTATATCTCTTCCACTCAATCAAAGTGACTTGACACTACGCATTGTGTGTTGAACTATTTCAAATGTACACATGCACTTATAATGTAGTATATCACATTGAATCGAATACCCCTCACCCTACTACCAATGACGTTCCAATATGGAAACAATTAGATATCATTCTAAAACAATGGATCTACAACACCATATTCACCAACCTTCTTTAGACAGTTGAGAAATTATGTGTACATGCCCAAGAACTTTGACAGAGATCCCAATTCCGTGTATCCGGTTAAGCAAGTCCCGCCGCCAACTTCCACCCAGAAAAAAAAAGTGAACGCCTAGCACAAAAGATTTCTTTACTAAGTAATATAACATTAGCGCTTTAGTTTGTTTGATTACTCATTAGTTTCATTTTTAATAAGGGCGGGAAGAAGCGAGCCTATGGGACAGTTGACAGAAATATTTCAATACAACAAACAACACGAGCTTTATATATAGAAGAGAAATTCAACACCACTCGTGTTTATGTAGGCTCCAACATCACTAATGTTTGTTCTCCCTTCAAAGCTCTAGTTGACCAACTAACTTATGTTGGTAACCCTGTATCATAAAACTAAATGGTGATATAGTTGGTATATGGTATTTGAAAAGGTGATTATTGAACTTAATATGGTATATATGTAATAACACATATACCCTAGCGAATAAGGTTCACTATGATCGGCCTGATATGGTTAATCCATGACAACGGAACCACGATCACCTGATTGAACCATTATGGCCAAACCATTCCTACTTACGAATACGGATGAATAGCGAATCTACACTATAATAAGCTAAGAAATTGAATGGAATGATGATGCGTTGATTATAGAAAGGTACATGTTTTTACAACAAGGTTTCGTTGTACCTTTGTCATAAGAAAAGTGTGAATAACATTACCTTCGAACATAATCTCGTACTTTCAGCCTTACAAACATTTAATATGAAAAGATAGCAACCTGCTTGGAATGGAAAGATAGCAATTACCGAGAAAGAAAGAAGAAGAAGAAGAAAGAGATAAATAGAGCAACAGAAGGTAAGCTATTTATACACTTCTTACACCTACAACATTTAAATACACTTATCGAATCCGAACCTAATTTGATCGTTGAAGCGTTTTCCTAAGAATATTATCCTTGGTAAATAACTTACGATTTGAGTATGTTATTAGGTTATTTGCTTGACACTCTTAAAAAGGGATAAACTTCATTACGTCCATTCCCCCTAGAAAACCTAAGTCGCAAAAACACTATTGCTACATTTATTCAATAAATTGATCACTTACTCATTTCAACAAAGCCATGTCAAAACTACTTTTCGAGGAGATGCTCAGAAAAAAAAAATGGATGGAGAATGACTAAAAGAATTAACTCCTAAAATTTAAAAAACTATTGGTTGGTAGAATGAAGCTTATAGGAAAAACCGACAAATTGATGAAAAATGAGTTGACTTTGACTGAACTAGTAATTGTTATGGTGTCAATTTTTCAAAATTTGAAAGCTTTGTGGTCAAAAATATGATGTAGGAAACTTGAAATAAGATGCATACCCTCACCATTTTCCCTCATTTCTTCTCCGACACGTTTTAGAGAGCTAGAGAGCATGACAATGGAAATTTTCTGAATGATTTCACAAAGAGTTTGAATTAAAGAAGTAATTGGTCTAGTGAAGAAACATTTGAAGCATCCTAGGGCTTGTAAGGTATAATTCCTCACCATTTCATCTAAAATTAGAGTTTGTGAAAGGGTTGAAAATCTGAATTTGTTTTTATGATGAATTGTCATCTAGAATTTTGTTTCTAACACTTTCGAGAGTGTTGATGTGGTTTAATCCCAATTCCATCACTCTTTTGATTGAATTTGTATTTGGGATTGAATGATGCCACAAACCCTAGAATCTCCATTTATGATCATGAATTTTTTTTAAGTAGTATTCCTAAATGATTCTATGATCATTGATGTAATTTTCTTGCAATAAATCCATCATGGATACACAAACCCATTGGAATGAGAGAATCATAGCTTTAATGATGATTTAGGGATTTCATTGTTGACATTAGAAAAATAATATGTAGATTTATCCATTCAGATATGTAAATGATATTCTAAATCATGATTTAATATATTAGGAATGAATTGGATGCAAAACATGAACAATTGCTTGATCTCTATGTGACTCTAAAGATTGTTTGGTCATAAGGGAAATTTGGGAAACCATAGAATGAATTTGGTAATTTCATAGTTACATTAAGTATATAGAACCATTTAGAATGTGTTTTAGCAGGATATTATGCACTTGGTGGCATTCATATGAATATTGGATGGTGTTGGATGAATCATATTGGTTATTGTTCAACTCGTCTATAAATTAAGCTCATAACTACTTTTTTGTGAGTTGAATGATAGTTGTGCCCTTAAGACTTTTAAACTGTTAAGTTCTTATGTAAATGGAACATAAATGGGTATCAAATGAGCTTCATAGACTTGTTACGTCCCTTAGAGCCATCTAGGTGATATATGGAAGGTTTGGGCGCATAGTGACCAACGTATAACACTTAGAAATGAAGTTTGGGACATTTTTGGACTGTTGGCATAACACGCATCGTGTTATTTTGACACAGGTTGTATCCTGTGTTCTGTTATGAATTCCTTGGTTATCCTTAAAAAATTCATAATTGTTTCTTCTGGACTTGAAATTAGGTGCGGTTTTCACCTACATTCATGTTTTAATATAAATGAAGTAATAAAATTTAAGATCTAGTATTAAGATCTTAATAAGTAACTTAATGGATCACATTTTTTTGAATGGAAAATACAATATATTCCTAAACTACTCCTAAATCCACCTATGTCTCAGACGAGACTTGAACCCTCAACCTCAATGGATCACATAATAGAGTTTTGATACACCTTTTAATGCAATTAGGTGCAACTTGAGTTACTACATTCTTGAGAAGAAAAAACTAAGGTGAGTTAACAGGAACACACATGTCTTACCTTACTTTGAATTTTTGTTATGATATTTCCTAAATGATACTATATGTATTTGTGCATCCATGAAATGCCATTTTAGAAAATGGTTTGATTATAAAATCAAAAAGCTTATATACTTTGAAAATGATTGTGAGATCCTTGGTTCAAATTGGACATTTGTTCTGTTTGTTTCATGTGTGTAGATTTCTAAATAATTCTCACATGCACAAGTAGAGGATCACTACCCCTTGTATGGCCTAGGATGATGTCCCTAGTGCCTGTTTATGCATATAAGGGAAAAAGTTGACATCATCGTCTCTCATGAGCTCTTCATATTTTTCCATCAAACCTTGTTTGTGGATATTAGTGCAAAAGTTGTTAGTGTAGTCTGTCGTGAGTTGTAAATATTTGGTCTTTGTTGGTGAGTTGCACTTATGAGATTCACATAGGGTTATGAATAGTTTCATGCATTGCATCTCACTTACTGTTTTCATTTTGTTTTACCTTTTTATGTAAATTTTGGGACTTAGTTGTCTCTTTAGGAAAAGGATTTGTTTAAAGTAAAACTTTTGAGAGTATAAAACCCTTGATTTGGGTTATTAACCAATAACTGTTCCTTTGTGTTTTAAAGTATTTTTGGAGGCTTGGTTCGAGTAAGATAGATTGCATCCTCTTACTCTAAATCAACTAATATCGGCTAACTTAATAGGAAATATATTGTCTAGCTTATTTTGATATGTGTTCAAATTGAACACCCTAGCTTGGGTTACGCATTAGCTTGGACTTTAAGAAGGCCACCAAATGTATGGTGAGCTAAATATTATTTTGATATATTTATTGTTAACAATCTCTCTAGATTTCAAACTTAAATTATGTTTAATAATTTAGGACCAAATTGTTTTTTCACAAAACATAAGTACTGAATCTTTTTTTGGGATATGATCACAAATGATTTTCTTAAGTATAATTGTAAATAGGACCTAGAGAGGGGGTGTTACAACACAACACCCCAATGATTTTCCTAATTAACCCCATCCTTCTTGAGTGTGCCTCGAAATAGCAGTCGGTCATCCACTCGTGGTGGATATCATTGTGGCAGCAACTACCGTGGGAAGGTCTAGGACGTGGTCAACAACAATTTGTTGTTGCAAAAAAAATCTCCAACACCATGGAAATCAATATTTCCCTAAGTGTCATTAAGAGTTATAGGAAAACCCACCATGCCCCTACCCAACAACATTTCTACCACACCAAGCAGACACGCTTGGCCCACGATCTAATACACATCCCTAACAGATTCCAAAATACCAAATCACCTGCCTTCTTATACATAATCGACACATACCCAACCCATAACAACAAAATAACTTGATGCTACCTTTCACTTCGTGTAACTGCTTTTAACATTCGAGTATAGGTATGTTTCCTTTTTTAACCCTTAATGCTTAATTCATTACATTTTGGTCCTTAGCTAGTATGAGGGGAGTACTCTATGAGTACACTTAGCGTACTAGCTCTCCGATTGATCGCGGGTTCACCCTCATACGCTGGGCGTATGTGGGAGTACGTAGGGCATACATAAGGATTAGGTAAACCCTAATAGCGTTTGTACCCTATTTAAGCAACTTATGTTGCCTTGGTGGTATCTTTTGGTCAACCTCCACTCCCCTAAACCCTAAGAACAAAACCCTAGTTCCTTTTGTGATTTTTAGAGCTTCGAAGTGAGTTTTGGTGGTGTTTTTAGTCATTTGCAGGAAGAACTCTTGGAGATTGCCTTAGGGTCTCTTGAGTTTGTAGATCCAGATTCATCATCATCTTTACAAGCTATTTGAGGTATAAAATTCCTTATTTGATAATTCATTATGCTAGAGCTAGTTTAGGGCCTTGTTTATGAGTTTTTGGGTCCTTTAAGATTTTCTTAGGAGTATAAGCTACTCCAGAACTTGGGATGTTAGACTTCTGACTTTAGGGTTTTGACCTTGTTGGGCCATTGGACTTCTGACTTTGGGCCATGGATAGACTATGGAATTTCTTGGGAGTGGGAGGTCCATAATAATTTTTGGGTCCAATTTCGAAGTTGGGCCTTATTGGGCCTAGGGATGCCATTTAGGAATTTGGGCCTTTTGAGCAAATAGGTTGGGCCTTGGTTTGGCCCATGTAAGAAAAAGGGTAGAATGGTCTTTTACGCTAGATATTAGACAAGAAGCTTAGATTCTTGATTATGGGTCGAGATCTAATTATTAATTGGATATTATTTGATGATATTAGCGCGGTGATTTTCTGGACTAGCAGACCGAGATTTATTGAGAGATTCAGCAACTAGAGGTGAATTCCTCACTGTGTTTAGCAGGTTGAAGGCATCAATGTCGTTCCATCGTTTGTTATGATTAGGATGCTAACTATTTGCATGACTCTTGAATGTATGATATTGATATGTATACCGGGAGGGGCCCAATGACTATCTTGTATGATACTTATCTTTGTGATTATTTCATGTGTTTATATGATTATATGTTTATATGTTTATATGTATACCGGGCGGGGCCAGATGCCAAGCGGGGCCTGATGACTGACATATCTATTCCGAGAGGGGCTCTATGCAGAGCGAGGCCCGATAATGGGCGATCCCTATTATATGTTTGATATGTATGGTATGTGGTATTTTGTGAATCTCACTAAGCTTTATGCTTACAGTTTTTAGTTTATGTTTCAGGTACTTCTGGTTCCAAGGGGAAGAGCTCGGGATGACTGCATTACACACACCACATTGTTCTACATTTTTATGACTCTGACATACTCTGATTTTCACTATGGTTTTATGATGTTGATTTGGTTATTAATACAAATATCGAAATTTTTGGTTTTAATTTTTGGGACGTTACACTGCTGCAACGAGATTCTTCTTGGTACATGGACTTAGGCTATACAACTCATCATAAATGGATCGGGTAAAATATATGCACTCTCTCATAAGTAATCAACATTATATTTAGTTGGAAATGGAAAGAATATTCCAATTCCTAGTCATGGAAATACCACAACCTCATTTTGTAATCATAAATACAATCTTAACCCAATCCATATATGGCTTAAAACAAGTAACTAATCCATGGTACAAACACTTTGCCTTTTATCTCCTTAAATTGGGCTTATGTTGTTACTTGTTTATCGGTATGGCAATGCCATAACTTATCTGTTACTGTATATGGATGATATCGTCTTAATAGCTTCCTCATACTCACTAACAGATGTGTTAATTTGGTCCCTAAAATCCAAGATCTAAGTTTAACATGACTGACATGCTGCATCCCACCTGCTTTTTTGGGCATCTCACCTATTTTTGGCCATTTGTATAACTCATACATCTCAATGTATGTTACATGACCAACGTAAATATGATGTGGAAATTATGAAGTTGGCCAAACTATAAATATTGCAAATCAATTTTATTCCCACAAAGACCTAGTTTAGTATGTGCCCTGCAATACCTCACATTTACAAGACCATATATAGCATATTTTGTCCAACAAATATGTTTCTTTATGCATATACCATGTGATATGCATTATAATGTCTTAAAATGCATTCTATGATACTTAGGGGTACCCTAGAACACATATTACATCTTTTGTCATATGCATGATTAATCGATTTCTTATCGATTGGAGTGACTACCCTAATACTCGATTATATACCTTACGTTACAACATTTTTTGGGCAACAGGCTTATTCCATGGTCTATGAAACGACGGCCTACCTTGTCCCGATCTAGCACTGAATCTAAATATTATGGGGTCACCAATGTAGTCTCTAAAATATGTTGGTTGCACAATCTTCTTCTAGAGTTTCACGTTCCCCTCAGTTGTGCCACATTGGTATATTATGACAACATATCAACAATTTACTTCTCCAAAGGTTTGATTCAACAACAGTAGACCAAACGTATTGATATGGAAATAAAATTTGTATTATAAAATGTTTCCCTTAGCCATATAATAGACGTTCACATCCCATCCACCTATTAGTATCTATATATTTTCACAAAAGGGTTGCCGCATCCCTTTTTCAGTAGCTTAAGATCCAACTTGAGTGCCCTCCACCCCCCAATCAAATTGTCGGGTCGTGTTAGCCGACTTATAATTCAAATGTATTATATTTATCTTGTAAAATCGTATCGCATAAGTATCAGAGTTTCTATTGTGAAATTTTTATGTAGTTGATCATAAATGAGAAATTGGCATAGAGTCATTCCTAACAATACATGCATATATAAATAAAAATCCTAAACTATTTTCATGTTAAAAAAACATGATCTTATCCAATTTTTTGGTAAAAACTTATTAATTTGTTCCATTTAAGTGATGTAGAAATAAATATGATGTCACCAATGACATTGGTGGTCTATGTCACCCTTTGATATCCTATAATGTATCGATACACAAAACTCGATCATCAACCATGTTATTAGCAAACATCACAGTCGATATTGTTTTACATCTTGATACATTATAAGAGGTCAAGGGATGACATGGACAACTCATTTTATGAGCCATAATTATCAAATTATTAAATAAAATCGATAAATATAACTGTATAAAAAATTTGGATAAATCGGTAGGTAAAAAATAATGTGTCTTTTGTCTTGACAAGAAAATAATAATATGTTTTTTAATATGTTGCATATAGCTTGTGTTTTAATTCTTTTCCCTTCTTTTAATGGTTAAATGAGCATCTATATTTTCTTTATATTATGTAACAAAATAGTATTTATACACACTATGTGACAATGTTTCGTGGTATAATCAAAAGACATGATATTTGAGAAGTAACGACAAGATGGTTGCATCATCCATTTCAGTTTTATAAGTTGGTAAACAACTAAAATAAGATCTCACTATTGGATTTTCATCTCCTTAATGCTATGTCAAACATAAGGGGCACAAAATACAAACCTGGAGTTGCCGGGAATACTGTTCAACAAGGACTTCTGCATATTCCTCAGGCGTATATTCAGAACTCGTCTCATAGTAATTGGGAACAAAGTAATTGCTAATGTAATCGTTGTTCCCCATCCCGATAGTATATATGCACTGGTTTAGGTATTTTCTTGTCACGTTAGCACTTCCTTTTCCATTCAAGGTGAAGAGTTGTGAAATCGTTATCTGATGATTGATTATCTGCTTGTTTAAGCTTATTCGATAACCCTGCAATGACCAATTATCGTTATGTGGGTCATTCGAGTATGAAATGAGAAAGCAATTGTTAAGTGACAGATTCGAACTCATTAAGGTTTTTGATTTATAGTTTAATAATCAAACCATCAGAGTGTCATTTAATAAGGTGGTACTTAGGTTAACAATGTGATACTTAGGGGCAAATTCAAAAAAAATAATATCATGTTTTGGACTAATGATATAAGTTGAAAATTTGTTTTTAAAATTATCCACAATTTTCATGGACAAAATTGTTTATTCATGTATTATGTTTTCCTGTTTAGTTACTAATTATTATTAAATTAGTAACAAAAATATTCTAAACGCTTTGATCTATAAGGCTATACATACAAGGATATCTGTAGTTTTTAAACTCGTTTGACCTAATTCGAGATATAGCTAACTTTCTAAATTGTGTTTAAATTTAAGTTTTTAACATCTTTAACTCTTTTTTATTTTTTAAAAGACATAATCATAATATTGTATATTTTGATCGAGAACCAACATAATTGTATGTTTTTTTTTTTTTTTTTTTATATTCAGTTGTATAACTATTAAAAATGATTAATATATAGAAATGAAAATTATAATTAATATGATAAACATACATAGTAACTTTAAAAGAAATTGCGCATATATATATTTGATGTTTTAGTGGGGATCATTTTTGAAAGATGACTCTTAAACTGTTATTGCTGATGTGAATGACCTAAGCATCAAGATTCAATTATAAAAAGCTTCATAGTATGGTATGAGTCGCGATTACATGACTCGTTTGTACACACCGCTTTTTTGGTGTTTTTTGAAGCGCTAAGCAACACGAAGTGTATACGAGCTTTTTGTTAACTTTCGTGGGGTACATAGGCTTAATTAAGCATCCCTATTAAGACTAAAAGGAGTGATGTCCCACCATGTTATTATTTTGGATAATTTTATGCTTGTTCTATAAATTGTTTCGTGTACCCTCTTATAGTGGAATAGTATCTATATCTCATGTTTGAAATTTTATTTGAATGAAGGAGATACTTATAGTAACACCTTTTATTTTTTTTATGCGACTATATAAACACCATCTCTGTTCCTACTCGAATTTGTCACTTTTTAAGGCTTTTTCATGCTTATATAGTCTTTTATGTATTTAATGTATATTAAAACTTTTATGTCTAACAGTAAATAATAATAATAATAATAATAATAATAATAATAATAATAATAATAATAATAATAAGCCCACATAAAACTAATATTAAAAATCATAATTGAAATTATAAAATACAACATAAAACTAAAATATACAATATAAAAGACATTCAATGTGAAACTAGTTTCTACCAAATTATAAAAAGAAGAAAAAAAAAAATAGCTTTCTTTTTTAATTATTCGCTAAAATGACCACGTTTGAAGGTTATATTCTTCAAAAGGCAACATTTTTCAATTATCAAAAATGATTTGAAATTGAATTTATATCACAAAATAACACTTGTATATATTGATCATTAACCCATTAAATTTAAAAATAGTCCTGACCAACAAAACGTTTTTATTTTTGGTGATACAATACCTCAAAGATTTTATTGATTATAGAAAATATAAGATTTTTTATATGAAAATATGTTTTTTTGTATATATATGATTTTATAAAGAAAAAATATATTCGATTTAAAAAAAAAGTATTATAAAAAAACTAAAGTTATGATGAATTCATAACAAAATTTTGAAATTTGAACAAAAAAAGTAAATTTTAGATCAAATTTGTAATAAAACTTAAAATTTCTATCAAAAAATAAATTTTAGACCAAATTTGTAAAATAAAATTGAATTCTAAATCAAAAGTGTAATTTTTAAAAGTTATATGACCTGTTAACCAAGTAAAATATTCAATTGAATACGATTATCGGTTTTTGGAAGTTAATTGAATAAAAAAATATAAAAACTAAATCGATTATGAAATCAATATGTAATGATTTTTTTTACAGTTTTCCCTTTGTTTTTTAACAAATCTTGATTGTTGTTTTTTTATGAAATTTTTAGTTATGTTTTTTAAGTTTTACTATGTACTTTTTATTTTATTTAACGAAGTATTTCTATTTTTATTTATTTTGTGTTTATTAATCATTTTTGAATGATTTCTATTTATTTTTTTAATTATAGTATTTAAAATTAAATTAATTTTATTTATAAAAAAAATTAAAATGAAAAGTAGTAAAAATTGATCATTTCCTAGTTTTTGGTGAGTGAAAGACAAGTGTGTTGAAATCTAACGTGGCAAAGAAAAAATGAGTTGTTAGTTGTGAATATACTATTTAGTCTTAGGGTGAAATGTAACCATTTTTCGACTTTTAGTGAGCGTAAAATTAACGTGGCTGAAGTTTGATAATTAGGCCTAAACTGTAAGGAATTTAGAAGGGCGAGGGCTAAAAGGGTAAAATATGGATTGGATTAGAAAGAAATTACAGAATGAGGAGCCAATTTCGTCATTATGGAAAAGATGTGAAAAGGGATGGGTATTTATGCCAAAGAGAACCCTGACCCTAGTAAAAACACTCCAGCTGTCACCCCCCCCCCCCCAGCCTTATGTCTCCCCGGTCGTCACCCCTTTCTTCACCTCCGGTTGCCACCTCCATTGCCGACGACGACAAACTCGGTTGTTGCTACTACTGTCGTGGTTTGAGGAAGCAAACCCCACTGCCATGTGTGAGCATCCCAGTTGTCGTCACCATTGTTGTGTTTTTCTGACCGGTCAAACCACCGAGTGTGGCAACCTCTATCTCGGTCCAAGTGCAGTCAATGGCGTGATTGTCAGATGTGTGTGTGTGTGTCGCCATTTTCCGACCACCCTTCTCCATCTGCCAGCAGGCATTGTAGTCGCCGCCACTCCAGCAGCTGAGGTGTGACGTTGCTGCCGCCCTGCCTACCTTGTTCCACTGCAAGGGTGGTGGTTTTAGATATATTTTCGGTGACATCTAGCGTATGTTGACATTTTTGCGGGCAGCAAACCAAAAGAAAGCATCGCCACCACCGTGAGGTAGTGGATGACGACGCCACCTACCGCTGCCGCCTCTCCAAGGTTCTGCCATCGCCGTGTGCCACAAGGTAGGTGGTTAGGGTTGTTTTGTAATCAGATAGGGTGTATGTGTATTATTTCACTGATGTATAATTGGGTTTGTTGGTCGAATAGATCAAGAAAGTCACCGCCACCACCGTAAGGTGGTGGCTGCCACCATGAGCCACCGCCAGCCACCACTAGGGTGATTGTGTGTGTGTTAGAGTAGTTAGTGTGTGTGCTTATTTGTGGATTAAAAGCTTGTAATTGTAATTAGCAAAAGATGTAATGTACAAAACCATAACCACCGCCGTAAAGTGGTGGCCGCCACCGTGAACCGTCATTGACCACCACTACCCAAGGTGGTAGTAGGTGGTATCCCACTAGCAAAACCCTAATGGGCTTAAAGATTAATTTTGGGCATATTGGGCCATGTTTGAGTGGAAACCCTAATTAGGGTTTAGAAAACCCTAATTGTGAGTATTTAGGCCTTAGACTTATTGGGGCCCACCTTTGGGCCCTTGGGATTGGATTGTGTATTAAGCCGAAATTATTTCGTATCATTTTTCTAGTAGAGTAAAGGACTTAATGGATTAAGACTTTAATGGGTTAAGTGAAAAACACTTAACCCTAATTGTCATTTTATGTGAAACCCTAATTTCACTTAGACTTTGAGTTGGGTCTTCCTATTGGGCCTTGGTGATTAGGATAATAATGGACCATTCAAGAACAAGCAAATAGACTAGAACATTTAGATGGGCTTTAGGGAAAGGCCCATATGTGAGGGTTGGGCCCAATTTGGAAAATTAGGCTATAGATGGACTATAGTTTGGGCCTTAAGGTTATATGATTGTCACAACTAGAATTTTTTGTGCCTTGTAGATTACAACAATTAAGCCAAATTATGAATCAAAGACACAAGAGCATGTATGATGCATACTCTATAACAATAAAATTTCAAACAAACACCCCATGCAAGCATTTCAAGTAGTCAATAAGCAATTGGAAACCCTAGAAGTCCTTGTTTAAGTCCATTTTAGACTAGGACTTCCTTATTGGGCCTTATGGACCAATAAGCTTCCAATTTGACCATCTTGGGCTTAGAACTCTTAAATGGGCTCTAATTGGACCCACTTCCAATTATTTCAATATTTTGGGCCATATTGGGCCTAGAATGAAATAAATTAATTATATGAACCATTTTGGGGCATAATTAACCTAATTTAGCCCTAATAGGTCATAAAAATTATACTTTGATTTAATTAGGACAAACATCATCTAACTTAACAATAATATGGGCTTAGGGGCAAAAAGCCCAAAAATCTCCTCTTTCCCCTCTCCATTCTCGGCCCAAGCCCAAGGGAAGGAAGAGTTGACTTTGTGTGTGCCACCTCACAATTATTCAAGGGACTTCCATGCAAGAGGACTCATACTTCCATGCACCATCCTTTCACACTTCTCTCTTCTCTCCTTTCTTCTCTCTTCTCGGCCGAACCCAAAACATGCACACACACACACACACTTCACTCAACTCTCTCAAAAGAAACTCTCTCAACTCCTCTCCAAGTGTTCGAAAATTAGGAAGCTTCAAGGAGATTTTTCCCACAAACACATCATCTAAGGTAAGTTGATGTTAGATCGATAAGCTAGTTATTTCATTCCATTCAAGAATCACCTCTTAATCCATTCAAACTTATGATTTAGCACCTTAGAAGCATCTAAGTTATAAGATCTTCCAAGGAGGGTTGCTAAGGCCGAATTTTCTTCTCATTTTTCTTCCAAAACCGAAACCACACCCAAGGTGAGCTTCATACCCCTTATTTTTTGGTTTTTATAAGTTTTTGTGGGGGAGAATACAAGCAAATGCATAGATCTATGAGTAAATGTATGCCTTGTGTGATTTTTATCCTTATATGTATGATCTTATGTGATTTGTGATGTTTATGTTAGCCAAAAGAACCTAAAAACCGAGAACTACAATATTAGGAATGAAATAAGTATAACTTATACCATTTCACACTAATCAAGT